AATACATTCTATGTCTGACCCACATTATATACTACTTATATGGATATAAGTAGACCACACCACAGTAGTAGCTTATCATAATTTTCAAAGCAAATATCTCAATGTTTTTTCTTTTGAAAAATTTGTAATAACAATAGTTACTAATATAATCTTGTTTAGTTGAATTTAATGGACTCATATTAATAATGAAGTAATTTATAATACCCATAAGTTGGATAAACTCCGCCTGTGGCTTCTCTGAGGGCTACTGCCGGTCCCAAACCCGGATAAAAGAGGAGGGTTGGGCATGGGGTTAGCGACCCCATTCCGTAGAAAACCAACTCTCTAAAAAAACGCTAAAAAATTATTCAAACCATCTAAACTTTGCCCTGGGAGTTGAAGGAAGAATTATGACGTCTCATGATGAAAACCGAGTTACTTAGGAAGTCATGAGGCCGATACACCTTCTAACAACCAGAGCAATAATTTTTATAGGTACATCTAGAACTCAAAACAATTGTCAACCAACACCAACATCAGAATTTTCAATACAGATATCAAGACGGTTCTACTGTATGGGGCGTAAACCTGGGGAACTACGGAAGCCATCGTCCAGAAGATACAAGTGTTTATTAACAGTTGTCTATGCATGATACTTCGGATCCGTTGGCCAGACACTATCAACAACATTCTATTGTGGGAGAGAACAAACTGAACTTCAGCGGAGGAAGAAACGAGGAAGAAGCACTGGAAGTAGATAGGACACACATTGAGGAAATCAACCAACTGTGTCACAAGACAAGCCCTCACATGGAATCCTGAAGACCAAAGAACACATTAGGCAGAGAAATGGAGACAGAAATGAGAAGAATGAACAACAACAGGATAGAACTAGAAAAGAAGGCCCAGGACAAAGTGGGTTGGAGAATGCTGGTCGGCGGCCTATGCTCCATTGGGAGTAACAGGCGTAATTAAGTAAGTTGCATAAACAATAATGGCAAACCATTATGTGTAAATTCGCACGGATAAAATAAAGTAATGAGTCAGAAGAGTAAATTGAATATGGATTAATAAAAAAAATTATGCGAGATGATTGTGAGTAATGATGTTGGGCAAAGTGAAACAGATAGGAAAGGAGAAAGAGAGTTTTGGACTTGAAAATAAATGTATAGATCAAATATTTATGTTTGGATATGATTTGAATTCATAAATATACTTACACTGGTGCTCAACTGTAGCCATATTCTTTGAGATAGTGATATATCACTTCGTCCCCACACAGGTCTTGTAACAATGTTTATTAGTGAAATATGTGTCAAGGAAATGCATGAAACTCACAACGCGAACACTATCTGTCAAGACCTAGCTTACAGCAAACTATCATCAGCACTAACTATACCAAGTAGAGTTCATCAGAACTACGTACTTTCGACTTTCTTTTTTCATTGTCACAAACATGCTTCTAAAAGTAACTCTTGATTCGTCTGACTTTTCCTATCGGAAGACTCTTTCATTAACTTAGATCTTATAGATGGTATGATTCTGTTTGGTAAATACCCTGACAAATTGTGAAAATGTTCGAAACGCAATTGTTCCTTCTCATTCCAACTGTAAAATGACTCTTCATGACTATTCTGCGTCAACGTACGGTCTAATCATAGGTAATACAGCTGTTAAGCTCATGGCTAGTTCCATTTGTCCTGGAAGTCTTATCAACACTGATGGATAAGACGACTGATAAAGCCCCATCATGGGTTAAAAATGTTCATTTGTTTTTAGTCAGTCAGTTATAATCAACATAGAACCTAGTACATATGTTCATCGGCTGAAGTTGCTACAGCATATAAGCATAGCAAGATGAAATTATTCTGACAAATACTAGAGTAATGGAAGTAGTTATAATAACAATGGTAATATAAAATGTTAGGCATAGAAAATATGATTAAAGAAAGAATTAGTCAGAGGAATGACATGTATAAAATAATTTTGAAATATAAGAAAGGAACATAAATAATGAATACATTTGGACCACTGAAGACTTATTCTGAGTCATGTTGCTTAATTTGTCTCTAAAACCTCATTATAGAAATTCACGAAGACCTCGACCTAGTAGTCTGTCTCTACAACTAACAACATGGTTCAGTTCAACGGTGGATTACTTAATGGATTGATGATATGTTTTCATTTGGACGACCTTTGAGCAACGCTAAAATGGCCTTGAAATGTCCACCTACTTAACAGGGTTAAATGAGGATTATATATTAGTGTAAAGAATTGAGATCAGGATTTACAGTTCAATGTTAGGGTTAGAAATTAGATTTAATATTTTTATCACTAACTGACATAAGCTATAATGCCAAAATGATATTTAGCCAAATTGAGTGAATGAATCTCACCCCAAAATCCAAGACCTGCTATCTTAAATGCGATTGGTTCGTCCATAAATTAAAGTCTTCCCGCATTTTCTTGTACATTTAATAGAAATTAAATATGTACATTGTATTTATACTATGATCCGTTAACGAGGGCATAGAATGTCGTCATTGTTTTTGAATAACTAGTTTTAATGTTAATTCTTTGCTTTTTACTACTACTACTACTACTACTACTACTACTACTACCACTACTACTACTACTACTACTACTACTACTACTACTACTACTACTACTACTACTACTACTACTACTACTACTACTACTACTACTACTACTACTACTACTACTACTACTACTACTACTACTACTACTACTACTACTACTACTACTACTACTACTACTACTACTACTACTACTACTACTACTGTTACTATGGCTACTAGCAGAACTATTTCTTAGGGAAATTGATGAAATTTATTGTGATAAAAGATGTATTCTATTTTGTTCTACTGATGAATAAACATTGCCTGGTTCTTCTTTGATACTTGTATGTTCACAGTTCCTCATCAGTACATCTTGAAGTTTTAACACTGTAGACTAATCTCCCAGACTTCTACTATCTTGTATTCAACTGTCTTCTGTATCATTATTGGTGATAAGTATTAGTAATAATATATTTATTTATTCTTATCAATGAATTTGTCATTGAGCCTACATTTGTAGTGGACGATGATGGAATAACGAAGTTCAGCATGAAATTATCTACACACAACACATATCATCATCACATGTATTACAAGAGAAAATCAATCCATGTTGGTACACAGTTATGTACATGTAATCAAGACAATTATAAATGTGTATATGCATATAAATGATGTGTATGTTTTTATTTGTTTGTAAAGTATGCGTATATATTTTTTGTATGTAACCGAAATGAAGATTACCGATTTCAAATGAAGGAGGGATATGGAGAGAAAAAAAAAAGGAAAAGGCAGTACTATGGTGTATCGTTCGTCCTTCTATGTGGGTATGCACGAATATGTTCTGTTATTACCATTACCATTCTTTTTTTTTTTGCTGTATTGTATTATGTAATATATGCTTTATTTGAATGTAACATGGTTACTATGATGATGTAACATGAACACGTTAAAAACAGTGACATGGACGATACACAAAGCAAGCTACATATTACATTATTCAAAACTAATATTAGTATTCGATATCTTTTCTTTTCCGATAAATAAAGTGTACTAATAACAGTATGTGTATAAACGGAATATTTCTCTGAAATCACTGTTACCGTAAAACTAGGTTTGATAACATCTCTTCCCCGTCGCTTGAGATATCATGGATAAAAAAAACCAACAGAAATTATCCAGTCCAGCAACCATTACACATGATGTTAGATTGTCCTTTAATTATGTCACGAACTAACCCAAATTGAAAATATGAGATAATGCATCCCAATTTACGTACATCGAAACACATACCGCCTTCGATTTAGTCTCAGTCAGAGTGATGAACAATTAGTGTCGAAGAGTCAGATGCTATAAGCGAAAAAATTTTTTTTGATCTTACCACCAATTTTTAATGATAACGAAATCAAAAACCTTCACATGGAATCCTGAAGGCCAAAGGAGAAGAGAAAGACGGAAGAACACATTACACCGAGAAATGGAGACAGACATGAGAAGAATGACCAAAAAATAAATAGAACTAGAAAAGAAGGCCCGGGATAGAGTGGGTTGGAAAAAGCTGGTCATCGGCCTATGCTCCATTGAGAGTAACAGGCGTAAGTAAGTAAATAACCAAAAACCACCACTAGTTATAAAAACTATAGTTGGTTAAGATTGGATTAGGCTACGTCGGTTAAAAAAAAAGATTTTGTAAAAGAAAATTTAGTTACTGCACCGAGTACATGCATTTAACTTTCGAAATCATTAATTTAAAGGGGTTGAATTTCAATATCCATAAGTTATTTAGCTGAATAAATTCAATGAGAAAAATACACTTCTGAAATACCATAACCATCCCACTGAAATGAATGCTTCAATATATCTATAGTTTCATACTACTTAAATTATTTTAAGTAACACAAACGGTCAAATATGATATTTATAGCTGTGGTTCATAAAACAAGAATAACAATAATTAAAAATGGTCAGATCTGTATAACAATGTGAAGAACCTAGATAAAATCGATTCTCACAACTGAACATACTATCATTGTGTTTAGTCATTATTTTTATAGGAAAAGTCCTAGAACAAACTCCGCCTGTAGCACCTCCGGGGGCTACTGCCGGTTGTAAGTCCGGATAAAGGAGGAGGGTTGGGTATGAGGTTAGCGACCCCATCCCGTAGAAAACCAACTCGCTAAAAAAACGCTAACCAGAACAAACCCAGTTGAATGGTTAATAAAAATGAGGAAATCGACAAAATTACAAATCAGTTATCATTAACCTAAAGAAGTAAAGATTCCCATCGTGTTATTCTAAAGAAGTCGAAAAGCTATGAATTACCATCGGTCCATTTATCTTTTTCTGCTAGACGAATTGAAAACAGGAATAAATAAAGTACTACTGATAAGAAACAATAGGGCCTGTGATGAAAAACGGCGAAAATCATAAGTCAAAACTTACTCATTCCATTTAAACTATTCAAATCATTTCCAACCAATGAAGTAGTAGTAGTCAATCGATTAGCAGCATTAGTTTGTATATACATACTTGTTGGTTGTTCAATGATTTGATGATGATGCTGATCAGTTGTTTCAACATGATTATGATGGTTCATGCCAATACCACCGACAACAACACCAGTTTGAGGTATACAAGGCAGTAATAAACCATTTGATAGTGAGGGGGGAGGTGGAGGTGGTAGGGGTTGACCAATTGTAGATGCATAATCTAATTTACTTATACGGCCATCCCCAACCCCAGCAATACTATTAGCACATGTTGTACCGAATAATCGATTATTGTTATTATTTACAATGATTGAGTTATTTTCTGTGGCTAAATTATTACTATTATTATTATTCACAGTATATTGTAATATGTTATTTGGATGATGTAGAACAGCATGATTGACGCCGACGCCGACACCGCCAACATTTCCACTATTATTCAGTAAACAGTTATTATTATTATGTACAAAATTAGCTGTTGTTGTAGTTGTTAACGTTGTTCTTGTATTAGGTGATAATGTAGACAAGGATTGTAAAAGTTTTGCAGCTTCCGGTATATTCATTGTATTTACAACATTATAATTTAATAAACTATTAACTCCATGAGGATGATGATTAGTACTTCCACAAGTACCAATTAAAGAAATTGGTGAATAAAATCCACCGGATTGATTCGATGAAATTCCCCCTGTTGTTTCAACTTTTAATTGTTTACAACATTGATGTTTAAAATGTAAATAATGTTTACATTTTCTTTGTATAATAATTATTATAGCTAGTAAAATGAATAAAGAGAGTATAGCGCCTAGTACATAAGATACAATGACAATAATTTGAGATAGTTGCGTTGATGATGATGACGATGATGAGATTGATGTTGACGAAGAAGATGTAGAATAATACTTTTCATTATGATTACCAAGATTATCTTCAGCTGAACGAATTTCATGATTCGATGTAAGCGACTTCTCATTGCCAACACTTATTGGTGAATGAATTTCTGGATTCATGGGTTTATTAGCTAGAGAGAAGAAAAAATGTTTGTTTAAAAAAGGAAAGAAAAATTTATAATAATTGATACATATACAGTAAGTCAGTCAGTCACAACGTACAACTTCGTACATACGAACATCAGCTCAAGTTGCCATACCACATTAACACAGAGATCCAGTTGTTGATTCAAATCCTATAATGGTAGAAGTAGTAAGAGTTTAAGAATTCATCTGAAAAATTAGAGTTTGAAGATACTTTTCAAGGAGTATAATCCAATGATATAAATTTGGAAAGAGAATAAAGACAGGGACATGACGAATGCAGAAGATTAGAATTTGGGAGAACACAAAGAGTGGATGCACCTTCGCCATTGCAAACGATTTTCAGCCATGTCATTCAAGGTCTTTAACAATCGATTGCTGTCATCTCGTGAATCCCAACCAGGTAGTCTACACCTACCAACATGTCTAAATCCAATTGTCAGTGACTTCATGGATTTGTGCCACGTTTTGGTCTGGCCGCCCCTAGCTTTCTCCCAACCTACTCCAACACAATGAACCATTGCACGTCGAGGCAGTCGGTGGTTAAGCATACGTAACACGTGTCCCAGCCATCTCAACTGACAAACTTTCACTACTTCATCAATCGATTTGCCATCATTACCTAATACCCGTTTCCTAACAACTACATTACTTACCCGGTGGTCACAGGATATACGAGCAATGCTTCGAAGACACTTTTGATCGAATACTAGTAGTCTATGAATATCCTCTACTCTTACCGGCCATGTTTCACGGCCATAAAGTAGGATGAAACGAACTGCTGCGCAATAAACCCGTCCTATTGTTGCTAGACGGATATCTCGCCTACGCCATAAATGAAGCAAGTTAGCGAAAGCTAGACGAGCCTTCTGTATCCGTCTAGATACATATACAGCTAAATATTTAGTTACTTATTCAGGAAAATTCGTTTAGTAAGCAGAGGGAACACATCACTGATCAGAACGATCCATATTCGTTAAACTTAGAGATACACACTGATCTGAACCAAAGCAAGTTGATCACTGATTCTATGAGTTTGCCTACTCTTGTAGAGTATTTTATATTGATCACATAAAGAGCGCTCTTTTGAAACATAAATTCATGCACTACTATTCATAACTATCCCTACGGATACCGTTAAATATGATGCTAAAAGTTAACTGTCAAGTCAACAAATATATAAAAGAAAGGTTGTATATAAGGATATAGTACAGGAAGAAAGACAGATGTGAAACAATTTTAATTTCAAGGTTTAAAGGAAGATAAAGAGTGTATACACCTGCGCCATTGTGATCGATTCTAAGCGGTTGAAGGTAGTAGGTAGAAAATCGTGTTCGATCTGAATTTTGAAGTGGTTAGTGTAGTGAACGAGAATACAAGTGGGGACAATGGAATGAATTTGAACATACAATTACTGAACAACTTAGTAGAATCTGAGAACCATATAGTAAATGCTTAATATGCAAAATGTCAACTAATTGTCTCAAACTTGGCTGTTATCTTTGCAAATACTAATTAATCATCTCAGTCTTTATTATTCTTTCGTCTCCACACTAATCATTCTTTGTTCTCGTTCTTCTTCTTCTTCGATCTTTTCAATCTTCTGCCTCCAGGAATTTCACTTTCGATCGATGATACATACTATTTATATCCATAAACATCAGTGGCACACACCACAGTTGACATCCATCAACACTAGAACATAGTTCCAATGCCATTCTTGCAGATCCGAATTCTGATCATCGAGCTCCACAATCACAGATGTGACGCAGCCTCGAACCAAGCAAGGAGTTTCAGTTCTTCCAAATCTGCGAATACCATTCATCATTAAACAATGACAATACCTCGTTTTCCATAAATATGTTTCAAGAAGTTGTTTTTTTTAAAGATTATTTACTTCAAATATATAGTTTTCAGAAGCGGGTTTGTGGAGATTTTAGTAATTTTATATAGTTGAAATTATGAGTCAATTCAAGTTAGACCACCATAGAAAACCTGGAAGCACTGGACGGCCGTTTCGTTCTATTATGGGATTCCTCAGCAGTGCGCATCCACGATCCCGCCACACGAGATTTGAACCCAAGAGCTATCAGTCTCGCGCGCAAGCGCTCAACCACTAGACCACTGAGCCGGTATCCAACAGTATTCATTGCTTCCACCAGGTTTTCCATGATGGTCTAGCTTCAATTGACTCATGATTTCACCTATATAAAATATATTGTTTACATGAAATATATATTATATCATTATTTCATTTTTCCTTCTCAATTAACATATTCACACATAATTAAAGTTATGAATAGTTTCCAATATATTAACAAGTCGGATGAAATAAGAAGGAACAAAAAAAAGAACCGTCTAATAAGACTTAGTTTATTGTACTAATGACTATCGGTGAATATCATTATTTCTCTTTCTATTCAGAATGTGTGTTTTTTTATATTTTATTGATCTGTCGCATTTTTTTATCTGTCTGATTTCCAACTTTGTTTCTCATTTTAACAGTCAGTCAGTCAGTCAGTCAGTTACTGTTAACAAGAAGAAAACCCTTGGACATAATAAGTATGTGTAGAAATTAGAATGGAAACATGAAGAATTCATAGTAAGTATAGTTAGTAGTAATGATTATCAAGAAGATCTGTTTGAAATCTAGGCTTCATTCATGTTAGTGCTTTTCTTTTAATCCTTATGGATTCGAATCCATACCACTTATAGAAGTACATTCAGAGATTTTATTGTGCAATTCGAAATGAATAATCTGAAGCTCATCGATTGAACTGGTTAAGACATGTTTTACATATGTCTAAATATCGCCTATTCTGATTTCCAATGCTAGTGGGTTTGGAGGTAAGTTGATAAACATATAGAGTGGCTCAAATCAAGACATATGAGTCAGTCTATAACATTAAGTACTACCGCAATTAGCCATGTCAATCGAAGCAGCTACCTGACCAAGGATGATAGATTAGGGGAGTATAGATATACAACTTCCCTTTATACGAACATTCGTCAGTATTTGAACGAATAGTTTGACAGGAACTACGAACCGAGTATAGAGAATACATCACTTGTGAAAAACATATCCAGACAAGTTTCCTGAATGAAACATTGGAATTATTTAAATTTCAATCACTGAGATTATTCGACATGTAGTTTTCATATATAATGTTTACCACATCCTTTTGTCCACATCCAACCTCAAAGTCAGATGACAGGTGAAAAATTATAGACTAACTACATCATTGGAGACTTGTAATTCCAAATTCCTACACATTTTATTTCATCTTTTCATTTTCATAGTAGATTTGGTATCACGTATCCTGCGTAACTGAATCAAGTAGCAGAATACAATAGGTATGCCAATATGAGATATGTCAGTTCTTGTATTAATTATGACTGGAATTATTATTTCAGTTAATGAGTAGTATAAAATCATAATTCAAAATGTCTGGGCACTATCAGTTTTATTTTTCAATTGAAACTATTTCTCAATAGTTGAAAACGTGAGTCAATTGAAGCTCGACCACCATGGAAAACCTGGAAGCACTGGACAGCCGTTTCGTCCTATTGTAGGATTCCTCACCAATGCGCATAAACAATCTCGCCTCGCGAAATTGAAACCCAGACCACTGAGCCGTCATCCAACGGTGTTAATATCTAACCTCAATCGATCCAGTCCAGTGCTTTCAGGTTTTCCATGGTGGTCTAGCTTCAATTGACTTACGCCTTCAACTATGAAAATACTAAATCTCCACAAAACCCCCTTCTGATAATTCTCAATACACTTTTTTTTAAAGAAAAAGGGATTAGAACGTATATTATTGTAAACAAGTGTAGACATATATTCCAGATAAAAAATTTCTTTGTTACTACTCATAGACAGAAATAACATGTAAAACTTGAAAGTGTACAAACACACACACACACACACACTATGACATGTTGTTTTTTAACGGATAATGGGCTTTGTTTTTTGTTTACGTCATCAATATTACCCCCCCCCCACTAGAACTTTTAACTCTGTTTTACTTAGGAGAAAAATATTTAGATTTATCTATGAGTTGGTTTTTACTCATACTGATATGTGTAAACATACATTTAAGTGAAAAGAGTTTTTATCTTATCGTCTAGTGAAAGTTGATTTGTTATTTGTAATTCTATCTAACCGCATACCCACCTATCTATCTACCTATCTATCTACCTATCTATCTCTATCTACTAGCTTGCTTACCTTCCTACCTATCTATCTATCTTTATCTACTAACTTACTTAACTTCCTTCCTACCTATCTTTACTACTTAGATCTTGTCTTTGGAAGAGAAAATAATAACAACTGCATATATATAAATGGCTGACAACATTCGTAAGATGAAAAAAATGAGAATCACCATTGAATTAATTGAGAATGTGATTTTCATTGTGAACCAATATTAGTTGAAAAAGTAAAAAAGAAAAAAGGGAGGATGACATTGGATAAATGTTTCATTACATAGTTTGGAACTATATTAGCAATAGTGGGGACTCATAAGTGCATATATAGAATTGTACGCATTGAAGGGGAAAGGATAATTGTCTCACGATAAATATCATGCAATTCCAGCAGTAACTAGTCAATATCTAATAATCTTCATTCTATACATTAGTAAATTTGTGATAACAACTCAAAGCTAACTTAATATTATCAGTGAATTATACTGTTTCATTCTCAACTTGGCCAACATATCATAGAATCAAAGTTTCTTATTGGCATTGGAAATAAGTCAATATTTATAAGCAAAGATGGATAGTGGCTAGCAGTGGAATCCAGTTTGACGCGCACCTCGTCCTATTTGGGACTCGTCAGCTGGATGTACCTGCATCGAGTACGAGAGTGAACATCAACTCTGAGATACAGGTACATCCAGCTGACGAGCTCCAAATAGGACGAAGTGCACGTCAAATTGGATTCCACTGCTACTCACTATCCATCGTTGCTTAGAAAGCTTGT